GAAACAAGCCAGTCATAAAAAGATAAATACTGCATGATTCCACTCATGTGAGGGATCTAAAGTAGTCAGATTCACAGAAGCAGGGGTAAAATGGCAGAGTGGCTGGTATAACGGAAAAAAGAGTTGTTCATTCTGTGGAGTTTCATGGTTTGGAGATTTGTTGTGCAACAATGTAAATATACTTAACACTACTGAACTGTACAGCTGGTTAAGATGGTAAATTTTGTTTCTTTTTTTAACCACAATAAAAAAGATGAATAACATCTTACTGTTGTTATGAAAATAGTTTTGGCCTCACAGACTCCTGAAAATGGTCTCAAAGACCTCCCAAGGGTCTGTAAACACTGTGAGAACCACTGCTCTAATGCAACTTTCTCTTTCTTACATCCATCTGATTTTTTTACCTGTTCCTTCTCTTCTTGTCTCCTTTGACATGGCTTTCTAGTTACTAAGAAGCTTCACTCAACCATGCTGACACTTAGATTATCTACAATGGTTTAAAAGGGCTTCTTTTGTCCTAAAACATGAAGTGTCATTATTCATTTGGAGTAATTTGTTTACATTTCAATATGAGCCCCTAAGATTTCTTTCACATTTGTTTGTTCCACCTCTCCATTTAGAGACCATTGGGGTCTTAAAAGCAGGTGCCTTCCATCAATATTTCACAGTGTTTCTCACATTTCTCTAAATGGTTTGGTCATGGAGCTCATAACGTGGAGATATCGGTTTGTTAATAATGTCTCCATATCTTTGTGCAGCTATATTCAAAACCAACTGGTCTCTCAGAAAGTTTCAATGCTTTTCTTGTTATCTTTTCTGATTCCTGCCAAAATAAGCAACTTTAGAGCTCTAAATTTGGTGCAACTCAATTTTGCTTTCTCTTCCCTCAGAAGTCTTAATGTGTGCAATGGTGAAAAATGTCAGCTGACATTAGATCTGGAGGCAAAAAGAAAGGACCAGATAGCATTTATGTTACACTTTCCAGATGAGTCTTTGACCAATCACTGCAGGTGGTAGAAAGTCTCCATTTGTCTTGTTTTCCATACAAATGAGAAACTAAAGAACAGCTTTCCTCTCTGGGAAATAACAGAACTGCCTTTTTCAAGAATTGTGACTTTTCCTGCCACAGATTTAGCTCAGTGGCACCGCACCAGCCTTACAAGCACAAGGTCCTGAGTTCGATTCCCAATACCAAAAAAAAAAATTGTGACTTTTCTTAACCTTGCGTCTTACATTTTTCTCTCTTGGCTTCTAATGTGACTCTTTCACTAAACCTTTCCTGGATTTTTTCACTTACAATTTGCAGTCCTGACCTTCACTGTTACAGTTAATTACTTCCATTAGTGGACCCTTCTGCTTTGCTATGCTGCACTAAGCCAATCTCTAGAGGACCTAAAGTCCAAGAGAATAGTTCCAAAAGCTTTGGAATCCCTTATATTCACCTTCCCAAGAGAGGTCTGATTCTCTCTCTCTCTCTCTCTCTCTCACACACACTCACA